TGAACAAAGGATGGATGAGAGCAAAGCTAAAGAAATGACAGGACTGACCCTGCCAATCAATGCTCATAACAGCATTCATGATGTCCACCAAGGTGCCTGGGCGTGCGGTGGAAAGCAGTAAGACTTTAGCAAACTGAGGTAAAAATTCAGAATTGTTCTTGCTCTGCTTCCACTTCTTTCTCTCCTTTCGTTGCTCTTTGTGGTTGTCTATTCTAAAGTTAAAAGCTGTAATGGTGGAACATGTCTTGAATCAAAGAGGACTACTCTAATGGAATTGCAAAAGGATCATGTATTTGTTTTATTATTCTCCCTTTCCTGTAGCCAAAGAATCAAGAAGCCAACAAAAAAACTACGTTGTGTTCAGACTAAACAAAAGGGTACCCCACAGTCCAAATTCATTACAGGGAATGCATAATTCCTCCACAGTTAAAACTTAAATTATCTTCCTATTACAGGCCCAGTTTCTTCCTCTCCTCCTGCTAAGTTGTGTATGAAACACTACTCTGAACACAACTTTTCTAAAGATTATGGGATAAACCATTTAGAAGGTTTAAAAATCACTTCCCTTCACTCCTCATTGACTGTTTAAAGACCCTCCTCTTACATGAACTCTCTTGTTCTTTAATTAGGCTAGAATTTCCATAGGACCACAAAGAGAAGTTGGCATCCAACTTCAATTTAAATGCAATAGGAGCTGGGCATTAACTTCCCTGCACGGTTTGAAAGTGTCAATCTTTATTAAAACATGGCTCAGCTTCAGAACACCCTGGAGATATGCTGAGCTGTGCTTGCCTTCTTCAAAATGCTCAACTAGAGCATGAAAGGGAACCTTGGGGGCAATTTTCTGAAGTACTTTTTAGGGTTATTACAGGCGGAATAATTGGCAACTTATAATGAAGAGACATAGCTGCTGTGTTACATGATAAGGGTGGCTGTTGTAAGCTGCCCTTTTAACCCAAAATTCCACAGGGCATTAATATTTTTGCTGATAATGTAGCAAGCCATAGTGCACATATGTTTGCAAATAAAATTCATTTCTGAATTGGCAGGGACCAATGAGTTTCTCAGATCAGGGAAACCCAGGTCAGGATCCCCTTTACTTTAGGCCCTGTGTTATATGAGTATGTCTGAATTAGCAAATAGACTAAGATGCAGACTAAAATGTACTAAAGTGAAGTCTAAATTTTAAGAAGTGCTGCTCTTGTTACATAGGATTTATATGTGAACAATTTCAACTATGTGTCTTTTCAAAAAGGATGCCAAACACTGGTTAATAAACCAATTTTATACAAGTGCTCCCTTAATTCCTTTGAAAACATACAGTAACAAGATGTGCCTTGGAGTTATTACATAAACATAAAATTAAGAAAGAATTTTACCAGAGATTTTCTGTTTCCAAAGTCTAAATGAAGTCTACTTGGCTATTTTGCTGTAATATAAACCAGGGCCACAAGGAAGGGAAGTTCTCATTTCATTTACATTATTGTAAAGCAAGAGTAACTCAATTAAAGTCAATAGCTTTGAACTTGCTTAAATGAGACAAGACCTATAAGGGATTACAAGGTTGTTTTAAGCATGCCAATAAAAAAAAAAAAAAGTCTTATCAGGTTTTACTTACATGGCCTGCAGCAATCCAAGTTGTACAGCCTCATTCTGCTGCTACTAGATTGTTTTTTGGTGTGTGCCAAGTATAAAGTGTGCGGTTTAGCACGGCTCAATGCAGTATTTTAAATGAAGATCTCTATCATGCCTCCCCATGCTCCTCCCCTCCCCACCAAAAAAAGCTAATACAGACATCACAAAGCCACAGATAGCTTTGCAGCATAAATAGGTGAAGTCTTGAAGATGAAGACACTCAGCAAATGCAAGAAGCTTTCACTCTGTATATCCAGATTCAGACCAAAGGCTGCAGGTCATCTAATCTGATTTCCTGTATATCATACTCACAGTGTGTGAATCCAATTACTAGCCTTAGAGAGAGGGAATCTGTCATTACTTCATTCTGCCTTAGAATTGCCCTTGCTTTAAAGAAATTTTGATCACAAGTGTTTTTATATTCAGCTAATCATGATCTTCCCTGCTAGACTAAAGAGCCTGCAGAGCTTCTGTCCCTATGGAGATACTCAGATTATACACAACCATCTTTCAACCTTTTTTTCATTCTTTTAATACCCTAAGGAAAGTTGAACTCTTTAAGACTCTCACCGTTAGGCTTTTTCAGCTCTTGACACTCTGGAAAGGCTCTTCACTGCGTTTGGTCCCTTATTTTAATGTATGCACTAAAAATGGATATTGTATGCCAGTATTATCTTTCTGCTGCCACAAAGAAACAGTAATACTCCCCTCCTTCCCTAAAACTCCTACTTGCTGCTTCTCTGATTGATTAAAATGTATAGGACAACATATGGGGCCAACTGATATGGGGGTACAACTTGCTGTTTGCCTGGCCTGCCCTCTGCAATAGGCATAAGCTTTGCTGGCGATACGTTAAAAAATTAACTTAGATCATTGGATACATTTGTTCAAACTCTAAAATAAAGGCCCAGGAGGATGAAATGCTGAACACTATAAAGGAACAGAAAGAGGGAGGCTACAGAAGGAACTAGTGCATGCTTAAATACAGAATCTGTTCTGCCATCATCACGACAAAGATGGAGAAGAGCCTGCAATAAGTGAAGCTTGCCTGATGAGTAAGAACAATTACATTAAGACATTAAAACTGATATGACTGACATTAAGAAAAAACAGATAGCCAGATCTCTAGCTTTTCTTTTCAACATGACCTTCTCAGCAAACCTGGGCCAGGGAGATACAGGATAAGCACCATCATAAATCCAGTACTTTGTTAGTTGTTAAGGCTGGAAATGAATTAGCCCTATGACTAACTCTATAGGTAAAATATCTCTGTCTTGGAAAAGAGCTTTCAGTCCAGTGCCAAAGTTAAGTTAGATCACCCAGAAAATTTCAGATATTCCTGAAGAGAAGACTCGGGACATTCCTCCCCTTGGGGAACCTGGAAAGCAGGACTCATTGCACAGGGACAGCTTTCCAGCTCTGCAAACTCACATGAAATGAAAGCTGTAGTGATTAAATTTTTATGTAAGTACCAAAAATTCCTTGCAATGCTTTTTTTTTTTTTTTTTTTTTTCTTTTCAAAATAAATGGTCCCATCATGGTATGGTGGGATGGAAAAAGCTTGACACATGTTCTTTGGGGTATGCCTAGCTGAGGCACATGGAAGTTTATGCCAGAGCAGTTTCCTGAATTTAATCATGGCTGTAGGCAGGCAGAGTATTTGGGTGTTAGCAGCCTTTCACCTTACAAAGGACAGGCTGCTAAAAGATTTCTTTTTCCCCTTGCAACTGCACTGATGACACTGGAATTGAAATAAAATCAACATGACAACTATGTGAAGAGCTGGACAGAGAAAAATTCTACCAGAAAGGCCTCTATTGAAAGCTGAGAAATACACAAAGCTTGGGGAACATTAGGAAGCAAGCCTGCTGGTTTATAGAAGTGCAGTGGGATCACAGATCTCTGGTGTCTACAATATTGGTTTATATTAAGCTTTAAGAGCAACGATTACATTGGCTGGGTTTCAGTCCCAGTGCCAGAGATGCCAAATAAATATCAAATACACTCCAGGGCTTCCCACCACCCCTACCCACTGCATCCAAACCATGCAAATTAGACAGAATTGACATTGGAATGCTTATGGCTGGGAGAGAATGACGATTCCCATCCTTGGGGCATTTTTCATCGTGTTTACATGAATACAGACATGCTAGGCATATCCTGCTAACTTGATGGGTTACAGAATATTCAGCATGCAGGCACTCAGCCACGGGCCTGATTTATAAGGTTCAAATGCGAAGTTAAAAACATATGGGTTCACAAGTCACCTATATTGAAACCAAGAGGCACAGAGGTGCCACCCAGGACGTTTTTTGTCTTGAGTAAAGATGGAACTGCTTCCTTCTACATTTTGAAAGAGGAAAGCAGAAGATCAACATTACTCTTAATACATTGAAGCCATACCCATGCAAGTAACGAGTGCACAGAGGCACACCCCTATGAACATAAGCACATGAGCTGTGTGCTAAACTAGCACTGACTCCTTTTATAGTTGGGGGAATCCAGAACCATAGAAAACTTGCCTAGCCAAGGCAATACAGCACTTCTTTTAAATCTATCACAGCCTGTTCTCAATGGCCTGTCCTGCCACAGCATTGCAGCTGCTGCACTACGGGGATTTGCTGTTATCAAGCAGAAGGGGGAGACAAGACCTTAGCTTTCCTCCAGTTCCACAGAAACAAAGACTTCTGCCCACCTCTTGCAACAGGCCTGACCTGCTGCTCCTTCCAAGAAGGATCTGGTCAGAGGGGAGGGCCATGAAAAACAGCTTCCGTCCTCATCGGCAGGCTGGCTCCAACCCACAGCAAAACCATGGCACTGGTACCGCCAAGAATTCAGTTGGCATTCTTCACTCCCTGTGGTAGCCACTAGGCCATAGTCTCCTTCAATCCATTTACATTTTATTAGGTCTTTTCATGCACCAGGGGACAAAAGAACAAGCCATTTCCTCCCACTGAGCTCTCATTTCACACTTCAAATGGGCTATACTAACCTTTATGGTAGAGCAGCTGCCAGGGAGGAGGGGCAGAAGGAGGCAGACAAGGGCTAGGATGACAGGACAGAGCAGCACCTGAAGATGCAGCCTCAACTCCTCTCCCAGCAACTCAGAGGAACCCGAATCAGCATAGAGCAACACCTTTCCCTCCTGCGCCCACCTCAGGGGCACCCAGAGCTCTGCAGCCACCTTGGTGGCATTCAGCCTGAATGCTTTCTGGACTCACCTCCCACCCCCAGCAGGTGCTGCTGAGTTAATAGCCTGTACCATGTCTGTAGTCAGAGCATCAAGTAAGCTGGTAATAAATTCAACTTTCTTCCCTTCTGGGCAGCCTGCAGAAAGAAAAGAGGAGGTTTAATACAAGAACACACAGGGATGATCTCCTACTCCAGTTCAGCAAGGATCAGCCAGAACCTCCTTTGTTTGTAACATGGCAGCCATCAGCACAGTCCCTAAGGAAAAGCAGAATAATCCTTCTTCTGGTTTCTCTGCATGGCAATTTGTCCTGCAGCTTTTGTCCAGGCACACACAGGGTCATCAACAATATCTGTCAGGAAGAGTGTGTGGTTAGCTTTATGGCCTCTCCCAGTTCTCTTACAAGCATAACCACAGGGATGTGCTAGAAGTACCTGGCAGACAGGAGTTCCCATGGTGACAATTGCAGAGAAGTTTACAAAACAACTCATTACCTCCTGGGTCATCTTCCTCTGCAAATATGGCTGTTCTGAGGTCCTAACTGACAGCTTAAAGCTTCCCAAAGCATGGGCCAAAGCCAGCCTGCTGCTTGCACTCTCCTCTTCAGACGTAGAGAGAATTGCCTGCCAGCAGCTACCACAATAATTCAGTTCTTTGCATGATCACACTGCATGGGAAATACATTAGTCTAAGTCAACACATGGTAATCGTCCCCAGTCACTGCTGGCTAAAGCAGGACTAAGTGGGCTGAAGACAAGCTTGGTAACTATTTCCATTACTTAGTGCTCAGGCTGTCTAGTTCCCCACCAGCATAACCACAGACTGACAGAGCCTCCTATCCTTAACAGTGCCAGCCTGTTATGACACAGCTGAGATGAAATTCTCTGTCTCCTCACCTTTATGAGGCAATCTATACCATTTCCTTGCTTCTTAAAGGAACAAAAGCATGCTCCACTGCCTCCAAAACTATTGTCCAAAACTCATCACCTCCCACCCTATTGTCTTCTCTTGATGTGACAGAAAAGCACATCCTCACCTCTTCTCTTTCCCCAAACCACTATCCGATACCAATTAAGTCAGCTGATTAAGACAGCAGACATCAGAAAACAACCTCCCTAAGCAACATACTGCAGCATCAACACTTTCTGCTTTTCTCGGAGAAGGATGTGCACACCAAACAGAGCACCAGAAAAACTTACTGAAATCCCTTGACTGCTGAAAGCAGCTTGCAAACTGATCTGATAAAACTCCCTCCTTTGCAGTATTACAGGCTCTGTGCTCTGCAATAGCTAAACAACAGTTCTTTGCCTGTCTCCATATCATGTGCATTACACACACGCACACCCCTCAGCACTTGTTTGGCACATGGTCCAGAAAATGTCAGCACTGTAATGGGTAAGCTGCTATGGCAGCCAGAGTAGACTACTCACTTAAAGGAGCTTTTTGTTGCAGTAATGAGAAGGTTGAAAAACCATTTGCTAGAGGTCATCTCCCTGGGGCCTCGGCATCTCGCTGTCTGCAGGAATTAGCAGTTTGCCATTTGCTATGTGCAAGCAACACTTTCCCTCCTTCTTTCTTTCTTCTGGCCACAGCCATTACACAGTTTGTGAAGAGGGTATGTGTAGGTGTGCAAGGATCTGGACTTATGTTTTCCCCACCCCAACCTCAGTAGGGTCTCTTCACACAGGCCAAGGAGTGCACCGCCTGCAGCACTAAGAGTCTGAAGAATGGGCAGACTTCTAGAAGAGGAATAAGGTATGGGATCCCTCTTACAGAATTGAGTACAAATGGAATATCAATCTCAAATTAAAGCAGAGTTTTTTGAAATTCAGTTCTGCTAAGAAATAGAGTAGAAAAAAAAAAGTAAAAAGAAACATCCTCTCTCATGCCCTGCAGTTCTGGCTCACCAGTGAATTTTTGCATACAAGAGCAACTAATCAAACAAACAAAAAAAGATCATGCAGCACAGCACCCCTCAGGCAGACAAATCAGGATCAGACCCTCCATCTCCTAGTCTCTCTATAGACAAGGGTATTTTCAGTGACAGGAACCATCACGCCAGCCAATGCAGCCAAGCACAGGGCTGAACATTTATTCAAGCACAGAAAAGAGGCTTGAGCTGAGAGCTGGGACCAGACCACTAAGCTACAGAGCATCATGTGTTGTCTTCTGGGTCAAGCAGTTCCTGTCCCTTTGTCTAGCTGCAGAAGGGGAGGGAGAATGGAAATGAAACCATTCTGTCTTCCTGACAGATCAGAAAGAGTGTTTTAAGAGTGTCTCAGAGAAAAAGCCCAAGTGCAAAGGATTTTCACAGAAGAATTCTGGAGAGGCAGGGAGGGAAGTGCAGGGAGAGGCAGAAAAAGCAAGGAGAGAAGGGGATGGGAAAGAAAGGAAGTAAGATTATTCTATTTTAGCATGATTTCCTAAGGAAATGAGCCTTAATGCAATCAGTTAGCTAGTTTCCCTCCCCCTACCCCCCAAGTAATACTTGAACCAATTGGCAGATTTCATTTGAATGTGAGAGGGAGGCAGATAGGAAATTTCTACATGACTTGTGAAAATGAGGAGCTGCACAGAAGAGAGCCCTGATGAGGGCAGAGTGGCTAAGCAGAAAGCTATGAGGCCTAAAGTCAGGAGACAGCAGGAGGAGAATTAGGAGGCATAGAAGGAAAATTTGGAACAAATCTCATTTCCTTTGCTAACTTGCTCCGGGACAACTCACTTTATGCTAGCCCTAGAAAGGGTCAGGAGAAAATGAAATAGATCCAGAGCTACCAAGTCTTTCTGCAGAGTTCTTGGTGTCTACCACTCCCTTATGGTGAAGAGGGACCCACTGTAGCTTCTGTTTCCAAGCAATCAGCCCCCACCCAGGAGATCAATTGCTGACCTGTCAGTGAGGGCTCCTCACTCTGCTCCTTAGAAAGGCTGCAGGAAGGAAAAAACAAAGCTCAGGCAGGTAGGACAGCATTTTTAAGAGCTGCACAGATACCTATGCCCAGCACATCTTCCTAGCAGACACAAAGTAGGTAATCAGTAAATTATGGCTTGTCACTCTGTTAAGAGGGAAAAGCAGAGTATAAAACAAGTAGCCATATGAGACAAAGCAGGTCTCAGGCAAAAAAATGAGGGATAGAGTCCAGCTAAATAAGGAGCCAAGGTTAGTTAAGGGACCTTAGTGCACCAGGAATGCTGCCCTGACTGGTCCATGCAGCATCAGGGAGCCAGTTGGCCCACTGACAATTGCCAGGTGCGTCCTCCTTTGTTGCTCAGGGGACATCAAACTGCTGAAAAGCCCTGCTAAATGGAAGGGATCCTATCCTGGATAGGCTTTGAAGAAGAATTTTCAATGTGAGTCCATTTTTCCACAAGGAAACCTTCAGGCATCCAGGTTTTTTCCCTGAAAATTCTGATCCCAGACATTTTCAAAGGGCAGACGGGCAATAAACTGGCCTCTGGGATACTCACAGTCTTTTCCAGTTCACTGCTGTAACTGGAGGCAATCCAAAATAACACAGAATAAAACCTATGGTAAAACACGCATGGTGAGGGAAATCCCCCATCTCCTCAACAATATTCTTGGCCTCTTAAGAATCCCAAGGTGAGACAAGGGAAGAAGGCAGAGACAGGATCTTGTTCCTCTCTGACCTGGAAGCTCTCTGTCCTTGAATGGATCATCAATCTCTGTGTTCTTCGATCTGGCATCGCTTTCACACACTGGGGTCTCATAGCTGAAAAAGGAGAACAGCAGATGCTAAACTATGTGATATAGTTTTAGTGTCATCAGATGCTTGCTAACAGGTTGTGTCTTATCTGCTTACTGCAGGGGAAACCAATAAACCTGCTGAAGAAATTATTCTCAAGCATCTGATTGCTTATGGACAGTCATCAACAGCAGCAGAAGTGGAGAGAGAAGGAAGAGCATACTCTGAAGTCCAGTACCAACTACCAACCCAAACACACAAACAGCACAAGGCTCTCTTCCAACTCTCGTGGGCACAGGCTGAGCATTTTCACAGAATCACAGAATCACAGA